TGAGGATAGATCCTCAAAGGGGAAGAGAGGAGTGGAGTCATGACCCACGCCAGTGGCTTCGCATGATGGAAACTCTCCCCAGCAGGTTTGGTGTTGAGTGTTTCCAGTCCTGGGGCAGGTGGGAACAAACAGCTTAACACTTACAGAGTGTTAAGTTATTTTCATTAAATATTAACACATTTAATCTTCATAACAGTCCTAAGAGGTAGGCAATAGTAATAATCCCATTTAACAGACAGAAACTGAGGCATAAGGAGGTTAAGTCACTCACAACCCAAGCTCACACTGTTAGTAGGTTGCAGGGCTGGGAATCCAACCTTGCTGCTGCATTACCCTAGAGCTGTCTGCTCCCAGAGTTTTCAAAAGTACTTTACTGTTTGGGGGAACATTCTTTTCGTTTGTTGAAAATATAATTGATAAAATCAGTTGTCATTTATCTAGTGCCCAGGATAGGCCAGACACTGTGCCAGGTACTTTCACACATATCAATACCATTTCTAATGCTTGTAAGCCAAATACCATTTTACAGTTGAGGAAACTTAGGCCCAGAGACGTGGCCTGACCCAGCCCCCTCAGCAGGGAGGACCAGTCAGGATTCAGTGCAGGTGTGACAGCTTCCTCAACCTACATTCTTTCTCTCATCACCAGGCTGCCTTTGTGTTCACCTATGTATCTTGAACACTTCTACTTGTTTAGAGTGTTTTAAACTTTGTCGTTTTGGGGTGGTCACACTGATTTTTTTTCTTCCTCATAATACAGCGAAGGCAAATGAAGAACTTCATCTGTGCTCCTGCTGACGTCTTTTATGCTGCTGTTTATGTTTGGGACTAACAAACATATTAATCTCACTGCCTGTTGAGCAGAAACAAGAAACTTCTCAGGGTCTTCTTTCTTTCTCCCTTCCTTCCTTCCTTCCTTCCTCCCTCCCTCCCTTCTTTCTTCCTTTATTTCTTTCCTCCTTTCTTTCTTTCTTTCTTTCCTTCCTTCCTTCCTTCTTTCTTTCTTTCTTCCTTTCTCTTTCTTTCTTCCTTCCTTCCTTCCTTTCTTTCTTCCTTCCTTCCTTCCTTCCTTCCTTCCTTCCTTTCTTTCTTTCTTTCTTTCTTTCTTCCTTTTCTTTCTTTCTTTTTCTTTCTTTCTTTCTCTCTTTCTCTTTTTTTATCCCAGCAATTTTCTACTGTCCTGTTGAGTGGGAAAGAATTCAACAAATAAGTCACATTGGTGTGATTAATCCTGCTGTCTCTATCCGGGTGTTCAAGATTTGGGAGGTGGAACATTCCAGTGGACAACGTGAGTAGAACACAGAACAGTTCAGAAAGGAAAAGACAAAGTCTTGGCAGGAGTTTATGATGCTGTGCTAGTGGGCGAGATAATTTGAAAGTCTTGCTTTTCATCCTCCCCCACCCCCCCCCATGCTATCCAAGTTTTCTTAAAAATAAGATTCAGATGCTTTGTTTACTTATTTTCTTGGCAATCTGTGTTGTCAAGAGAACAAGAGCTGTTTGCCTAGAATAGGTTTTTCTGGTGTTCTTGGAGGAGAAAAACTCAAAAAGCAAAGCCAATTTTTATTTTCATATCTCTAAGAAGAAAACGGTTCCCTTGAATGGGACGACTTCTATCTTAAGAGGGGCTGAATGTCAGTGAAAGGCAATTGTGGTTTCTCTGCTTTGTTCCAATTCACTTTAATAAGAAAGGCACATAATTGATGGGGTTTTTAGCTCTGTGCAAAGTATATTAATAGTTAGCACCTTTGAGTGCTTAAGTGCCAGCACTGAAGTATTATCTTTTTTTTGAGGTAAAATTGTTATGTAACATTATATGTTTCGGGTGTACAGCGTTATGATTTGACGTCCGTGTGCATCCCACGGTAATCATCACCAAAAGTCTAGTCACCGTTCATCACCATACACTTGGTCCCCTTTACTCATTTCCTCCACCGCCAGTCCCCTTCCCCTCTGGTAACCACCAGTGTGTTCTCTGTGTCTAAGAGTTTTGTTTTGTTTTTCTGTTTTTTAGATATATGTGAGTGAAATCATATTGTTTCTGTCTTTCACCCTCTGATTTATTTCACTTAACATAATACCTTCATAATACCTTCCAACCACATTGTTGCAAATGCAAGATTTCATTCTTTTTATGGCCAACTAGTATTCCATTGTGTATAAATATATCTTCTTTATCCATTTATCCATCAATGGACCCTACACACAGTATTGTATTTAACCTCAAGCCGAGCCTGTGAGCTAGGTTTTTATCCTCATTTGACAGCTGATGAACCCAAAGACACTCACCCAAGGCTTACAGACCTGGTAACTAGCGAAGCTGGGATTTCAGTTAGGTCTGACTCCAAAGTCACTGCTTTCTACCGCAGTGTTGAAGGTAAACAAATGTTTCAGTGCGGTATCTATCTGTATTCCGGGAATGAATAACTCTATTGGCAAGTCAATGCAGGAGTGAAAAGTAAAGACTAAAGAAGACACGGTGGCTGAGCATCAAATAAGTGGAAGAGTCCTTGCTGTAGGAGCTCAGAGAGGGGAGAGGTCAAGGAGGGCCTAGTCACAGCATTTCAGGAAATTCTTCCAGACAGAAGTGGGTCTTGGGCTTGAGTTTGGATTTGAATGGACACTTTCTTAACCTTTCTCACATAACTGGCTCCTTTACATAGCTGTATGTATCAATATATCTAAGTGTCCGCCTGTGTTAGCTACAGTGTTCTAATAAAACAGGCAATTTAGTAACAATGTAAACATATAGAATTGCGCATTTTAATAAGCAACAGGAAATGATCAGTATCTATTTTGGTTTCTTTAAAGCAGGGGTTGCCAGACTTTTGCCCAGGGGCTGAGTCTGGCATGCCACCTATTTTTATGTGGCCCACTAGCTAGCAATGGTTTATACATTTTTAAGTGGTTGAAGAAAAATCAGGATGATAATATTTTGGGACATGTGAGAATTACACGAAGTTCAGCTTTCGGTGTCTGTAGACATTTACTGGAACACAGCCGTGCCCGTTCACTTATTTTTGCCTGTGGCTCTGCTAGAATGGCGGAGTTGAGTAGTTGCAACAGAGACAGTATGGCTGGCGAAGCCTAAAACTTTTACTATCTGGCCCTTTACAGATAAAGTTAGCCGACCCCTGCCACAGAGTCAGACCTGTTCAAAATGCTCCCCATCAGCCACAATAAATATATTTTTTGGAGAAAATAGAAAAATATAGAAAAATACAGAACTCTGCATCTGCTAGTCAGAATTGACTGTTGTTAATTAACCTTGTGCCATTTGCTTCAAATCCATTTACCAGTAAAAGGCATAAAACTTTACAACATTCCTTATGCTCCCCATCTCTATTCTTCCTTCCTTGTCTCTGTGGCAGACTGTCATTTGCACTCATCCCCTTTGACTTTTAAAGCCCTTGTATGGAAGCTTTGGTCTGTGAACAGTATAGACTGTATTCTGCAACCTACTCTTTTACTCTGCATTTTGTTTTGGGCTCTCCCCATGTCTGCACAAACAGATATGATGCATTCACTTAAACTATTGCGTCATATCCCATCAAATGGCTATAACACGTTTCATTGATCCATTCCCCTGATGAACATTTAAGACAGTTGTTCCCAGGTTTTTACTATTACCAACACATGCTGCCATGTTGAAAAACATCAGAAGGGGCGGTCATCTTAGCGGAACACTCTGAATTGCTTGTGAGCGCCCCTGCAGCATGAAAGGGACTTTGAACCTTTAATTAATTTGGCCCTTGACTCAGGACTGAGCTTTGCAACCACCCAAGGACTGCGGCGTCAGGCAGCCCTTGTGAGGTCTTCTTTCGCCCCTCCTCCGAGTGCTGTTACCCAGCTGGGACACTAAACACACTCTAAGGGCTCCAGCAAAGTAGGGCGGCAAAGGGGTAGAATGTTTGGGAAGAATATGATGTATGTCACAAAAAGCATCTAAGTAGTCTTCAGGAAAGCCAGAACTTCATCGGGTTTCCTGTAGTTTGGTACATCCGGGTGGAGGGGGCGCTGGGAAAGGAACACAGTTCCCAGCCTTTAGGGCGAGCCCCGAACAGCGGTCTCTGGGGAGGCAGGTGCGGAAGGGGGTTTCCGCGAATGGGTGGTGACCCAAAATCCAGGCCGCATCCACCGCCAGGCGCCTGGTGCAGGGGCAGCAGCCAGGAGACAGGAGCTGAGCCTCGAGGCGGGGCCCCGGGTGACTCGCAGGCTTGGGAGGGGCAGCAGCCGGGAGACGGGAGCCGGGCCTCGAGGCGGGGCTACGGGTGACTCGCAGGCTTGGGGAACTTCCCGCAGCTCAGACGCCGCCCTGCAGTCCCTGCATTTGACTAAACAAAGCGAGCGCAGCTGGCGCGTCCGGCCTGCCCGAGGGTGCCCCGGCCGCTGCGGGGAGAACCGGGGCAGGTGACGCCGCGGGCGGGGGCAAAGTTACAGCGCAGCCTCCCGCGCTCCTGCGCCCCAGCAAGGTCTCTGTCCTCCTCGCGGGTCCGCTACCTCTTCCGACCCCGCTCCCGTTCCGGCCTCACTTCCCCCCGCTCAGCCTCCTCCCCTTTCTTCTCCCTTCCCTCTGCCGCGCCGCTACTTTCGTCTCCGCCGCTCCCGCCTCCCTCCCCTCCCCGGCGCGGGGCCGAGCCCTCGGGGGCGCGCGGCGGGCGCGGGCGGCTCCGTGCCGAGGTTCCCAGCGGCAGCAGCCAATCTTTGCGCAGCCCGCGGCAGCGTCGCGCCCGAGCCCGGACCCCGCGGTTCCTCCCGCCCCCGCCCCCCGCGCGCCCGCCGGGGCCGCGGAGAGGAGCGCGCGGCCGTGCCGAGCCCAGCAGAACTGAGCCGGGGGCGCAGAGCGCGGGAGGCGGCGGCGGCGGCGGCGGCGTGGAGCCCAGGTGAGCTGGCGGGAGCTGGGCCGCGGGCGGGGGACGCAGCCGCTGCAGCCCCGGAGCCCTCGCCCTCTCAGGGTGCGGAACCACGGCCAGGATTGCAGACAAAGCCCTGAGGCCGGCTCCAGGTTCCCAACACCTAGGGGACCCCACGTGCGCCGCCCCACGCCCTGCCACGTGGGGACGCGGCCCCCGGCGCCCCTTCCCCCGCGTCCTCGGGGCACCGGAGTCCTGGGGGTGGCCCCCTCGACTGGGCCGCGCCCGGCCCGGGGTGGCAGGGTCGGTCCCGGAGTTTGGAACCATTGTTACCGGGGGCCGGGGCAGTCAAGGATCTTGGAGGCGGCCTAGGCCCACCCCCTCGCGTTTGACAGGTGGGGAAAGCTAGGGCGCGCAGGCGAGGAGAGGGCAAACGGACTTTGCGCACCCCCGTCCCCGCTCCCCTCTTGTCTTGGAGGCACACCTGGGCCGTGGTGGGTTGGACACCTGGCGGCAGGACCCTAGACCAGCAGCTGTGGGACCGGGGTCCCTTAGCCTCGCCTCAGTCGGCCCTCTGCCCCCGCCCCCTTCTCTCAGCCGGAACCTCACAGGCTTGGTCCTTTTGACCTAAATTCACCTCGGGGCCGCTGCCTACTGTGAACGCGGAGAGCTGCCTTCACCGGCACCCTCCGCCTGACTCTTGGGCTCGTGGGGATGCTGGGCCCGGCCCCGCTCAGCGTTGGGTCTTGGTGCCTGGGGTGCCACACGTTCCAGCCTTGAGCTTTTCTTGGCTTCCCCACCCCCTGCACTGACCAGTTTGGGAAGCGGGGTGTTTTCACAGCTCTGCCAGCGGCCCTGCTTCTCTCACTTGGCGCTGAAGAGATTGCACCGAAGCCCCTCCTATCTCCCCGCGAAGGTTGGGGCAGAGGGATGGTGCTTGGGGGGCGGGGATCTCAGTGCCATCAGTAAGAGGGGCACGCTGGCCTGGGGTGAGGCAACTTTTACCTTCCTCAGTCTGGAAGTCCCACAGTCCTGGAGACAGAAACTTCTTGTGCCTTAGAGCTTTGCTGTCATTTACCACTCCCCCTCCCCTGGCTCTGCCCCCAGGAGAGAGAGTAAGATAGCTCTGTCCGGAAAGACTCCCTTGTTCCTAGGGGGAGGCAGGGGCAGCAACAAGGGTAGGCCTTTGGGGGAGATAGCCCTCCCCCCCACACAAACCACCTCACAAAAGCATACACTTTAAGAATAAACAGTGTGCATGCTATGCAAAATGCAGCTTCATGGTGGGTCCTGTAACTTCTTTTCAGATTGCTGGTCTGAAACTCTTCCTGTATAGAAAGCAGCCATTTGTAGGGAAAGCACACAATGTGTTTTTGTAATAAAAAGTAATAGCCATCATTTGATGGGCCCCTAACTTGGATAATAATAATAATGTTCATAACTAACATTTATTGAGTTCTAACTGTGTTAGATATTGTGCTATGTGTTGCAGGCATTATCCCATTTACTGCCTACCAAAGTCCTGTGACGCAGAGATTTTTATCTCCATTGGAGAAATGAGGAAATTGAGGCTAAAAACAATCCTGCCGTATTGCTAGGAGTTAGCCCATTTTATAGAAGGACTCAGAGAGGTTAAATTACTTGTCCAGGATCACACAGCCAACCCAGGCATGTCAGGTCTTAAAGCCTTTGCACTTTACCACCTGTTTTAGAGCAGAGGCCTTTGCAAGGCTGCCCTCAGGTTCCTGGGGAGCCCACAAATGTCTGCTAAAACAACCTAAGGAGCCATGGTGGTGTGGCTGATCAACGTGGGCTTGTGTTTGTTTCCAGGTTGTTAGTGGGCTGGTAGACAAATATATTCACTAATAACTATGCAGTAGTTCTCATCGGGGGAGGTTCCACCTTCCTGGTGAGCGTTTGGAGAAGTGTGGGGCGAATTTCGATTGTCAAAATGATGCTGAGCACGCCTGACTTTTGCTAGGCAGGAGCTGGGGATGCCACATATCCTGCAAGCAGGCCAGATTCACAGCAGGCGTGAAGAATTGCCCTGCCCTGAATGCCAGCAGTGCTCCTGTTGAGAAATACCAGGAGGAATAAGCGCTGTGGGAGTGAGGAAGCAAAGGGCAGTGGGGGTTCTGGAGAAATCCTTTGTGGCAGGTGTGAATCCAGGAGGCTTCCTGAAGGAGGTATCGTTTGTACTGAATTTTGAAGGATGGGCTGAAAAGTGGAGATTGGATGGGAGTAGGAGGGGAAGGGACTAGGACGGGATGACCTAGCAGAGGGAACTTTCTGGAGTGACCCGGAATGCCCTCCTTGAGAACTGCATCCAAGATGGGCTGGTGGGTGGGGAAGCACCTCTCTCAGGAGGAAGGGATGGGCGGGAGGGCCAGGGCAAGCCCGTTTTCAAGGCTTTTGGGCTCAGATTTTAAAGTGGGCCGCAGAATCACCCTTACCCCATCATGAGCCCATTTTATGGAAGGGCTTGGAGAAGCTAAATAGCTCGTTCAGGATCACTTGTGACCTCCGCAACATGCCTTCTTCTGGTGGTTGTGGGAAGCATATGGTTCCCATTTCCTTTCCTGATCCCGGGGATTTCGGGCAAATGCTATTTCAGATTTTCCTTCTGGTCAGAGGGCCTTGTTTTGCTATTTTTTGCAGATGTTTTGCTTTCCCAGTAGCTCCTCCTCTTTGGACTGGGTTAGAGAGCCCAGATGTGGGGTTCACTGGCTCCATGGTGCTGCAGTGGCCTTCAGCCTCACTTCTGTGCCTTCTTTCCTGGAAGATTGAGGAAATTGCATTTCCCTTTTGGAAGTGACTTTTCTTCTTTCAGGCTGTGCTTGTTACAACTTTACTGACCTGTTAGCAATATGTGACCTTTTGTGTCTGGCTTTCATTGAGCATAATATTTTCAAGGTTCACCCATGTTGTAGAATATATCAGTGCTTCCTTTCTATGACCGAATAATATTCCCATGTATGGATATACCACATTTTGCTTATCCATTCATCTTTTGATGGACATTTGGGTTGTTTCTGCCATAAGAGCTTCTTAAGGCCACTTTGACCATTCCTTTGTCTCCACAGCCCCCAACTAATAAACCTTTGGGCACAAAACACTGTGTTGTCACTGAATTTGCAGGGAGAGGGTGATGGAAGGAAGGTTCCAAAATCAATTGGAGGACGAGCTTCCTGGAACAAGGTTTTCGAGACTCCCTTAACGCCGCTCCCACCTGCTCCTCCACGAGAATCCTAGCTTCCGTCTTAGCCCATTGCCTCCCAGATCGCCTCACAGGTATTACAAGTGTGATTTTCAGGGAGAGCCTGGATTTCATTCAGTTTCATTCTTTTCTGTCATGATTTGTTAAATGTAGGTCCCATGTGATTTTATTGGTATATATTTTGTGAGACCTTTTTCCAGGTAAGTAAATCCATAAAGTAGAGAAGGCCTCACCAGACAGTTGGTGCTTGAACCCTGTGGCCAGGCATGGAGTCAACTCAGTCTCCTGATAGCTTTGCCAGGAATGCCCTCCAAGGATGTGGAAATGGAGCAGCGTGAAAACTGAACTAGGAGGAAGTCTAGAAAATTCCAGCCCCTCAACCGCTCCCATTTGATGGCTGGGAAAAGTGGAGGGCAGAGAGGAAGGGAGAACATGGTCTTTTTAAAGAGAGCATTGTCTATGAGCCATGTTGTGTGCTGGGCACTTTTTTTTTTTTTTTTTTGCGGTACGCGGGCCTCTCACTGCTGTGGCCTCTCCCGCTGCGGAGCACAGGCTCCGGACGCGCAGGCTCAGCGGCCATGGCTCACGGGCCCAGCCGCTCCGCGGCATGTGGGATCTTCCCGGACCGGGGCACGAACCCGTGTCCCCTGCATCAGCAGGCGGACTCTCAACCACTGTGCCACCAGGGAAGCCCACGTGCTGGGCACTTTTATAGAAGATTGACTCTACAGCTGCCCTTTAGGTAGGTTGCTGCAGCTTCATTTTACAGCTGAGAAAATCAAGGCCCAAGTCCCCTGAGATCTGTATAGTTTCCTGACATACCTTCTAATCCTGAGCTCTCATGTCTCCCTCGGCCTCCTTATGATGCCAAACGATGCCCATTTTCTCATGGAGTGGAATCCACATTCTCCAGGAGGTTATGGTGTGGAAATAATTTCCAAATGCTTGTGCTCTCAGGAAAATAAGATTTTGAATGATTATTTTTTCTTTCTTCCCTGATCGGATCCCTTCCCCGATAAAACCAAAAAGAGGGGCATATTTAAAAGGAGGTGAGTGCTGTTAGACTTCATAGGGAAGACCTCTGGCTCTGGCATTCCCTGCTGGGGCATGCTAGTGCCCAAAATGGTGAAGGAACTATTTTAGCTGTCAGTGTTTTCCGTTTCAGTCATGTGCGTAGTGTTGCTGCTGAATTTCCCCCCTCAGTTATGAACCATTTTAAGGGTAGAGAAAAAACCCAAAGTTTTGTTTTGTTTTTGACTGGCTCATGGTTTTGGATGGCTGGAAGGAGAACCAGGAGGTGATGGAAACGGGACAGAGCAGGCCGCTGGCTCTGGAATCCTGATGATCTTTCATTGAACCCACACTTTTGGGAGGGGCTGGTGACAAGCCCTGCCCTGGGAACCGAGGAACACTGGGACTTGGTCCTTGTCCTTTAGGAGCTCTTGGGTGAGGGGTCTGGAACTGTTGGGGATCGCTTTGGAAAAGATGAACAATTCTAGCATTTTTCCCTTTTGAAAAGGAGAGAAAGAAAATTGGAAGAGTCTGTTGTGCCCTTACCCTCACCCCATCCTGAAAGCTGCTGAGCAACTATTTTTATATTGTCCCTTTTTATCCCGTTGGCTTCTGTAAATAGTTGAGAGATGGCGGTTGCAGAGATAAAAATGCTAATTCCAACCTGGAGAGGAGCGACTGATGGCCCCCCAAGGAAATGGGGGGAGAGGCCAAGGTCTTGCCCCTCTGCTTGGGCATGAGGTAGGAAGTGAGTGGGAGTGGGTGGGGAAGGGACATTGTGGGAGGTGGCTGAGATAAGCCTCTGCTGGAGAAGTTTAAATGGGGAACCAGTGGTTTGGGTGGTGGGCAGGGTGTGGAGGAAAGGACACCTCCCTTATGGGTTTCTAAAGCTACTTTGGGATTTTGCCGTTAAGGCCTCTGGCAGAAAGAGATTTTATTTAGATTCTTCCCAGACAGTTCTCCTGCCCTCTGGGTACAGGTGTCTAGGACAGGGTTGGACCCCGAGAGCCAGCTCCCAGCCCCTCTTTGGCCCTTCCCGGGGTTGCTTTGTGCTGGAGGCTGGGGAGGGAACAGCTAGATTTAGCATCACCTCCAAACAGCAGGGAAGAAGGAGGAGAAGGGCTGTGAGTGGGCGAGGCCCGGATGCCTGTGGATTCCCAGCCAGCCCCCTCCCTCTCTGATTTGTCAAGCTACAGAATGTTGGAGTCAAAGTCTTTTTCTTTTCATTAAAAATTGAAATTTCAGTTGTTTCCCAGCCTCTTCCTTAGGTTCAGTGAAAGACTGGGATGGATTCAGTAGGAGAAGAGGAAGGAAGTATGATGGTCCCCACCTCCCTTTTCTAAATACCCCCAACACCCACACCCACACTCACCCATTCACACTTACTGGCTCTTCAAGGCAGGGGCCTCCTGTGCACACCTGGCTTTAGGTACCGGGTGTGTGATGCGGGCCGCTTCTCCGTGATACTTCATGATTGACCCAACAGTAGCTGCCTAGGAACTCTTAAGGCAGTGGAGCTTCTTGCTCCGCCAGCATCCAGGGCCGAAGGGGACACTGCAGGGGTCAGGGGTCATGCCCTGGCCTAGCCTAGAACCTGCTGGGCTGCCTGGGAGAGGTCATCTCACCTCCCTGGGTCTCAGCCACTCCTTCTGGAGCCCTAGTGCGTTGATTATGAAAGCTGTGAGAGTGTGTGCAAAATTCTTGTGACACAAATAAGCAAGGATGCGAAATTATATGCACACTTTGCTTTTAATTTTGTAGAAAGTGGTGCATATGGATAAGAATTAGAAGGGAAGACGAAAAGAGTTAAGTTGGCAGGTTGTGATTAGAAACAAAAATTTTATTTTAATATAAATTAAAGCCAATTGAGGGGCTTGAATTTGATAGCCGTTGAAGTGCTTTCTTGGCAACAGCTTCTGTTTAGGGAGCATTTGCTGTGTGCAGGGGCCTGTGTGGTAGGTGAGGTAGGTATTGTTATCCTCAAGGTCACCAGCTAAGGAGAAGGGCTGTACCCCTGATCACGATGTGCCCACCTTTCTAGGAGCCTTTGATTTCACACCTGTGCCCTCCCAAACTGCTGTGTGATTTGGGGCAAGTCACTCAGACTCTCTGTGCCTCAGTTTCCTTATTGGTGAGATCATGATAATAGTAACTAACTCATAAGTTTATTGTGATGGTTAAATGAGGTGATACATGCAAGGTGCTTAGAATAGCGCCTGGCACTTGGCCAGCAATAAAGAAGACTAGTCATCACTGTTACTGTATCTACAACTACTATGGCTGCCACTGTAGTGATGTGATTCTTGTGTTAAAAGTACTAGTCAGTTTCTTCCCTTCATTTCATCCTATTCTTAAGCCCTTTCCTTCCCTGTTTTTGATTTTTTTTCCTTTAAAATTAAAAAAAAAGAAAGAAATTAAAAATGAGTTTGGAAGTTCTTGTTTCTGCCAAACCATCAAGGTGAAGGCTGTCAGGGGAGTTGCAGCTGCCTGACAGTTTGGCCTGGTTGGGAGCCTCAAGGTGTAGGCAACTTATCATCTGGCAGGGAGCTTAGTGGAAAAGCTTTTCTGTCAGTCAGCTCTGTGTCATCTGTCCATTAGGACCTTTGATTGTAAATGACAGAAAACCAACTGCAAACTAACTTAAGCAAAAATGGGAATTTATTGGCTCATGTAGTTTAAAAACTCCTGGGGTAGGTGGGCTTCAGGCATGACTGGATCCAGGTGCCCATGCAGTGTCTCCAGTTTTAGTTCTTTTCTATCTGTTGGCTCTCTTCTCTCTCTGTCAACTTCATTCTAACGCAGGGTTCTCCCAAGCTCCTGGTAACTCTAGAAGTACATCTTCATTGCTCTGTGTGCCACAGAAAGAGACATTCTTAATACTTCCACAAAATCCTAGAATAAAACTTAGTAGACTGACTTGGGTCATACATCTACTCTTTTTTTTTTTTTTTAATAAATTTGTTTATTTTTGGCTGCGTTGGGTCTTTGTTGCTGCATGCGGGCTTTTCTCTGGTTGTGGCGAGGGAGGGTTACTCTTCGTTGCCATGCGCAAGCTTCTCATTGCGGTGGCTTCTCTTATTGCAGAGCACTGGCTCTAGGCGTGTGGGCTTCAGTAGTTGTGGTACACGGGCTCAGTAGTTGCCTGTGGCTCGCAGGCTCTAAAATGTAGACTCAGTAGTTGTGGTGCACAGGCTTAGTTGCTCCGCAGCATGTAGGATCTTCCCAGGCCAGGGCTCAAACCCGTGTCCCCTGCACTGGCAGGCAGATTCTTAACCACTGCGCCACCAGGGAAGCCCCACACATCTACTCTTGAAACAATCACTTGACCAGAGCAATCAATGCCCAGTTAACCAGACTTGAGTCATAGTGGAACCCCTGAAGTTGATGGCATGGACAGCTCCATGGAGTCACCTTTCACACAGAAGGATGGGTTCCAGACATAAATCAGGCTGCTGTTATCAGACTAAAGGAACATAGAGTCTAGGCCAGCTAAAGAAAGCATCTGACCTTCTGAGTGGCCTTGGGATGAATGAAATAAACAATGACCTCTAGCCAATATTTACTGAGTGCCGGCAGTGTTCTAGAAAGTTCTAGGTCCTGGAGTCCAGCAGTAAACAAAAAGGCAAAGGCACGGCTCTCACAAGTTAAGTCAAATCGATGTCTCTGTGCCCATGCACGTCTTTCCTGAATGCTGTAGGACACTGAGCCTTCACACTCTCCCCTCTCACACAGGTTGGAGCCAGAGGAATGGGCTAGATATTCCCCTTTGTTAGAGATTTTGACTCAGCCTGGACTTCATTCTGGATACAACATGTGGACATTGCAAGGCTGTACCTGTAATTTTTAGCCCCTTTCTGAAAAACTCAGACCAGTTTTAGCTCTACTTGGAACCACTGCATAACTTTGGACAAATTAGTAAACCAGGGCTTCCCTGGTGGCGCAGTGGTTGAGAGTCCGCCTGCCGATACAGGGGACGCGGGCTCGTGCCCCAGTCCAGGAGGATCCCACGTGCCGCGGAGCGGCTGGGCCCGTGGGCCCGTGGGCCCGTGAGCCATGGCCACGG